AAGCCAAAGAGGGGGGAGAAAAACCTAATAAAGAAGACAGGTTACCTTCACAATTCATCATTGGGCCTGGCTCAAATCCTTCATGACAGCTGCACTCAAAGCTGCCAACCACGTTAGAGCACGTCCCGTTTCCACAGGGGTTGCCAATGGAACATTCATCTGTATCTGTACATAATGAAATAAATGCAGAGTGAAGAGAACTGGGACGAGTTGTGTTTTAAATTCAGGGGTTCCAATTTCTGTATCTGCACACACCTATGCAATGCACTCCTGTGAAATCCAAGTTGTACCCCATGGGGCACTCGCAGCGGAATGATCCATCAGTATTGATGCAGTGACCATTGGAGCAAATTCCTGGGCTTTCAAGACATTCATTGACATCTAAAAAGAAGGAAGATATTAACAGCCACTCAGCTGATACATTTCAAGTCTCAAAACAAAACATTTAAAAAAACCCAAGCACCCTATTATGTTTGTCTCAAACCATGCACTTCAAAAAGTGTTCTTTTAACACACTTTTACAGGTCAGCCTCTTGACACCAGCAGCTGTGAGGAGTAAGCTGTCACATGCTGTAATATCCTAGTATAGTTTTAAATATTAATATTTAGTTTTCATATTGAGAAGAATAACTACCTTCACGTGTATCATCAATTCCAGGAATAGTTCCATGACCATATGGGCACAGGTCCTGAAAAGCAACTGTAGAGATAAATTTTCTTTAAAAAATAGAGCAAGTGAGATACAGAATCATGACAGTTTTGGATGGTTAAAGCCATCCAAAAAGGATACTAGTTCAAGTTTCTACAGAGCAAAACCAAGAAATCAGTGTTTCTCTTTGTCTGTGGTTTCTTTCATTTAAATTTTATTCCTTTTGCTGACTTGAAAAATCATTCTAGAAAAAGCCACTGAGAGCGAATGCCAGAAAGATCTCTCTTTCTAATGACCAAAAAGTACACCACCAATGCGCTCCTCCCTTTCCCCCAGCAACAAATTTTAAATTTTAAATGTGTACCTTCTTCCTCCTTTGGACAGAGCTCACAAGGATCACCCCATCCTTCTCCTGGCATTTTACTGCAGCAACACTTGGCTTTTGAGGTGTTGAAAGCCTTTGGCACTGAGCACTTCCCATTCTCAAAGTTGGTGAAACAGAAGCTCTGACGGGTATCTAGGAGAAGCAAATACAGTCATGCAGAGCTGACTTCTCCCAGGTTAGATACTGACTGTCTGCCCTGAGAGAAGTAACACAAGACCTGTATTTTTCACACTTTTTTAAGAGCACTCTAAATTGGAAGGGGCTTCTAGAGAGTATCTGTTACCTTTTAGACTGAGTTATTGCATTCCTTACCCATGAACTTACCAAAGCACCTCCGCCCATTATCAGACAGCACAAAACCCGTGGGACAGATGCACTGGAAAGCTCCTGGGGTGTTCGTACAGGACCCAAAGAGGCAGATGTTGGGATCCTCGTTACACTCGTTAATATCTGTAAAGCAATGGAGAAACCTTCACCATAGCCTCACTTGCCGTGAACTCCTTGGTTAAGAAAGCCTTCTTATTTATTGATTGATTGATTGATTTATTGATTTAACTGGAGCAGCTTCCAATAAAGTGTCCAAGAGATAAAGCATCCTGTATTTTTCACTGACTCCTTCAAATTAAGGTTTTTCACTGGCATGCACCTTCTTTTCTAAATACCATTCTCTGTTCTTCCTTATACTCAAAATAAACAAATGCTTTCAGAATGTATTTCCCACACAAACAATATTTTTCTGTAAGCATAAAACATCCAAAGATTATTTTTTAAAAATCTGTATGCTCAGAGTTCTTTTTAATTAAAGGTGTACTTTTTTTATGCTTCCTGTCAGATTCTGGGACTGAAACTATAGCAAGTTATTAGCAGAGTGACACCTTTGATTGTATTTACATGTCCAGATTTATAATTAGCACATTAGATTTATAATTATTTAATTTATAATTAAAATGTGCTTTTACTACCACTTTCATTGTGATATTTAAAATGTATTCCTGTTCTATTGAATAATCTATAATGTATTATTATTAATATTTGAAGACAGTTAAGATTTATTTTTTAATAGTGGTATATCATTAAATATTATATTAAAAAATTATCAAAAGCATAAGCCAAAGTACTAGTATTTAATGTAAATATCAAGTGCCTGTAGAACTGTGCAGCTCAAACAGCATCAGGTGTACTTCCCCCATCTATACAGACAACAGACAAAGCAGGAAAATAATACATTAAGAGACCCCTAATTTTTCATATCTGTTATTCAAAACTGTACTTTAACTTATCCTATTCTGCAAATACTAGAAGAATATATAAGCTGCCTTGCTAAGGTAATTTTTAAAGGCAAGCATAATCTGATAAATGATGAAATGTATTTTAATAACCTTCAAAGTACAATGCTTTTTGAGTCTTTCATTAAGGACTATTGGAAGAACCATCACAGAAGCCTGTGGCATGTAATATAAGCATTAAAATATAAGCATTCTACAATAAAAGCCAACAGTGAGCTTAACCAAAGTACAGGCAGGAACAAGGCTCTCTCCATGAAAATTAGCTTTGTGGATGTTGAATACTCAAATTTGTAGTGCTATTTTTGCCCATGTTTACTGAATTCTCTGCTGTACTGAGTTTTATAAAAATGCCCTTTTTTCAGCAGGTAAGAAAACAATGGAAATACAATCTTTATTATATGGAAAATGTAAGTGGAGTGATGGAAGAAATCTGGTGGGAGTAGATTCTGTGATGCAACTTCTGAAAAATACTGCCTTGAGTTTCATTTTCAGAAATTGCTGTTAGGTACAGCACATGGACAAAGCACTGCAGCACAATCTGGCATTTGACTGAACTCTGCAGTAGCCTCCCATGGACAGGCTCTTCTGTGAAGCATTCTAAGCCAGCTTATTTCAGAGAAAATGTTAAGTAATTTCCCAGTT